TAAACTGCGGTGGAAACGTGCGCTTGTCGAGACTTTTCTTTACCTTAACAAGGTTGTACACCAATGCCGCCGCACGGGAAGCTTGAAGCGGGGTGGGCAAATATTTGGCAAACGCCACCCCAAACCAGTTGGAGTTAATGCAAAGACTTTCGCGCTGAGCAAGGTATACATACTTGATCCACCAGTCCGTCATGTAATTATCTGCAAGTAAATACTTTAGCCACAAGTATCTCTGCAACTGCGGCCCCTCATTCCGCAGAAAGTCCTCGGATAATTTTTTCAGATGCTCCCACTCAGCCGTTTTCCCCTCGTAGAATGGCACCATTGATTTCATGAAACGCTGCACCGTAATTTTAAGATCCGGCAGCGGTTGCGAGGGCAAACAACTCCCGTACGCCCCGGTCCTTTTGAGGTTGTGCATAAAAAACGTCTTGAGAATGAAACCCCAGAGCATCGTCTTGCGGCTCAGTTTCCCCTGGCCCTCGTATATCCAGCGGTTGTAGCTCAGTAACTTTCGAAGGACGAAGCGCTGCAACGCCGTGAAGAGCGTCACGGCGCCAAAGGCAACGTTTGCGCAGAGCGCCGGCATACGGTATCGGGAGGGAATGCGAGCAGAAATAAAATTCCGTTCGTCAAGACGCCAGAGGATGTCTGAAACACAATTTACGCGGATCCAAGCGTCAGCAGGCGAGTTGAGGACCCATAAAAATACACCAAAGCTGAACGCGGTCACGACGGACAGTGGAATGGGGTACAGGGCAAACTGTACTTTGTCAACCCCATGCCAGAAGGAGCGACGCATGTTCTTAATAATGAAGTAAGGATGTGGAATGTAAAGAACAAGACCGCGGCGGCTCACGTACAGCTGCGTTTGTTTCCGGCTTGTGTCCACTTCAAAGCCGACATGGTGAAGAGCCGCCGTGGGCCGCACCGCAAACCGTGCCTCCGCCATCTGTCACCCGCTGTATCTGTGGGATAAAGGAATAAAAACTAAAAAGTTGCGCGCACACAAAGATACGACAGCTTTGCCGTCAACCAAGCAAAGCGGAGGTGGAAAAAAAAAAAAAAAAGACAGAAAGAATAGAGAAAAGAAGGAGCAGGAACAAGAATAGGGTGAGGATGTGCCGTACCACAAGTAGGGAAAGAAAACCAACCAAAAATACATACGTTCATGCCAGTCCGATGTAACAGAGGAATAAAGTAAAAAAAATGTCCTCGCACCAACCAATATTGACGAGCTAAGCCCGGCATAAATTGATTGGGGAAAACGAGTAAGAGGGAAAGATTTAAAAAAAAAAGGAGAAAGGTGCATTGTAATAATAATAATAATAATAATAATAATAATAATAATAATAATAATAATAATAATAATAATAATAATAATAATAATAATAATAATAATAATAATAATAATAATAATAATAATAATAATAATAATAATAATAATAATAATAATAATAATTTTAGTGGTAATAATAATAATAATTTTAGTGGTAATAATAATAATAATTTTAGTGGTAATAATAATAGGTGGCTTGAAAAAAAAAAAACCACAAGAAAAATAATGTTATTTGGCCCAGTTGACACTGAAAAGACGGAGAAAAAAAAAGGCTATGATGTAAACATTTTTTTGTAAATAGCCTGTTGCTTCTTTTCATATGCCCTTCGTTTCTCCTGCAATTGCTGCAGAAGCACCTTTGCATCGGTGTTCTGCGCATCGATGGCGAGCAACTGCTCCACGTCACGCTTGGCTTCATCCCACTCACACAACAAGCAATTTGCCTTCGCGCGTCGATAGAGTGCCTTGGGATTCTGTGGCTCCTTTTCAAGGACCTTATCGCAGTAGCCAACACACTCACTGAATTTCTGCCGGCTCAGTAGTACCTGCGAAAGATTGCCAAACAAAATAACACGTGCCTTACGTGCTTCCTCCTTTTCCTCGTCCTTCAGGCCGCTGTCCGTCTCAAGAAACTCAATGGCGCGACGGTACTTCCGCATGGCGGCTTCCAGTTTCCCAGCACGGAAGGCGTCATTCCCCTGTTGCCTCCGTCGCTCACACTCAATAAGACGCTCCCGCCCCTCAAGCTTCCATATCTTCACCGTCTCGAGCCCATACAGTTCCACCACATATGTCACCGGCTCACCAGAGGCGATGTTGAATTCCTCACATGGCTCCGTGATGCGGTGGCCAGCGATGCGGAAAGACGCCGTCTCGCGATCGCGCATGGTCGAGAGGCACTGTTCAAGGTGCGGAGGCACGGCTGCGTCACCAAGAACAAGTCTCCAGCCGAGACGCTCACACAAAATTTTACCCTCTTCCTTTGCACCGCGGTACACGCGCAGGTCAATCTTCACCGTCGTTTCGTATCCAGGCTTTTCGTAGCCGACACCTTCCACGGTGAGGTTTTTCATGATGGACTTGTCGTTTTCCTCCGAGATGTCCTCCTCGCGTGTCCAGTCAACAAGGGTCACCTCAAACAACAAAGTGGCATTGGCCGGAATTTTCGGTGGACTGCCCGCTGCACCGTAGCCATACGCGGGTGAGCACTTCAATATTGCAGTTTCGCCAATCTGCATCGTGGCCACACCTTTATCCCAGCCTTTGATCACCTGGCCACTGCCCAGAGTGAACTCAAAATATTCTCCGCGATCAAAAGAGCTGTCAAACTTCGATCCATCCGCCTCGAGTTTGCCAATGTAGTGAACCTTCACTTTCGCACCCTTTACGGGCCGCGTTCCTGTGCCGGCCACGAGCACCGTCTTAAAGAGACCCTCGTTTGTACCTGGCACCTCCGTTTCCTCACGGATTGGGTACTCCACGTCTCTTAAAGACTGACTTTCCACGCTGGACATGCTTTTCGTGCTGTCTTCTTCCCAGTTCATTGAATCCATCTTCAAGGATGTTTTAGCGCTTCTTGTTAATAATAGTGGTGTTGCTTCTTGTGGAAAGTGCAAAAGGTTGAGATAAATACAAACAGGCATACAAATAAATAAATAAATGAAGAAGAAAGAGATTAAGCATTACACAATCCGTGAGAAAGCGCATGCCCATGTAGGAAACTGTTTATACAAGTCGTTTGTGCCGCGTACGGTGCACACACACACACACAGACACACCGGGAGTAAAAAAACAAACCTTTTGTTCAGAGCTCAATGCTATTTCGCCGCGTATCCTGGCTCCCCCGGCGCGTTCTTTGGCATCCCAAGTGTGCCCCAACCGGAGGCATGTCGTGGCACTGACTTACGATTGCGCTTCAGCCCAAGTGCTTCCTTCAGTTCACCCGCCTCTAAAGCCGGACCTTGCAGTCGGTAGTAAAAACGGTCTAGCAACGTCGGGTTGTCTGCTGTCTCCTGCCTGTCGTGCATCTCGCTCACCGTCATGGCAAGCCGCTTGCCAAGCACCGCTGCACCCCTTGACGCCTGCTCCAAGTTTGTCTCCGGTGGGTGCGTCCATCGCTCCACAGACGTTGGGTGACTTGCACGGAATGGGGGTGGTATATCAACATCACCGCGCGCTGCATAAAGTTCTCGATTGCCTTTTGGCAAGTACCCAAGCATAACTTTAATCTCTCGCTGGCGCTGCAGCGAGAGACCCTCGTCTTTATCCGCCCAAGCAGTACCTTTCTCCAGTTTTTTTATGTACGCCAATCGTTCACGGGCGGTTTTTTTGTTGTTGAGGTCATCAAAGTAGATCTCCCGCTCGTCTTCAAGAATACGCTGATCACGCACCGCATCTAGTTGCGCCTGCGTCGGATGTGTAACAGTCGTCTTGGGCGATCGACCCGTTGAGGGAAACAAGTAGCAGTACACCTCGTTGTAGTTGGCTCGTACCGTGCCGGCGGTGTGATATGCCCTTAATTGGAGTGTCTGCTTTTTCACTTCGTCCAGAATGGTGCGAAACACAGGAAACCCCTCCTTTGGTGTGCCGAACTCCGTCAGGTTGATGCGCACCACGTGCCGACGAAGAAGGTGCTTCGCAATACCGATACTTTTGAAGCGGATGGCGTGGGGGTGCGTTCCACCACGAAAAGGCACCTCGATGCACTCCTTCGTGGGCGGAGGCTGAACCCCTAGCTTCTGCAACTTGAATCGAAGCATATCGCGCATTTGCTCCCGGTGATCCGCAATTTTGCAGAGAGCTACAACACGCCTGTCGCTCCTATCTGTGTGAATCGCCCCCACACGGATAAGATCAAGGCCCAGTTCACGGGCCATGCGCCGCGCTTGCGATGTGGGAAGGTCCACGTCCGTGTCAGCATCGCCTGCAGGAAAATGCATCTCTGCCTGTCCGTCACTGGGCAAAATGCTGCGAATACGCACAAAAGGCTCCTGAATCATTTCATTAATGGGATGTGCCTGAAAATACAGCAGGGTTTCCCTGCGCACCCTGTTTGCCGAATAGCCAATCTCACCAGTGTCCACCGCCCCTTCTGCCAACATCTCGTGTGTGTGGCCTTCTGCCGCGTGATCCAGTCGCTGCTGAAGCCGTTCACGATTGACCGCGTCGTCCCAAAACTCGGCACCACGAAGCTCCGGCAGGCGGCCATGCGCCAGCCGCGCACTGGACGACGCATCGTGCGGAGGGGAAGAAGGGGAAGACGGATCAAAAGAAGTTGCATTCTCCGTCAATTGCATATCCGTAGCAGCAACGGCGGATACGGCCCCAAATTCCATCGCAACGGGGAAGTGGGGATTAGCCTCCGGTGGCAACATGGCGTCTTCCTCACCCTCCTCCTTATCTTCGCTTCTCTGTTCAAGCCCACGGCAGAAATTGACACCCCGACCAGCTGCTCCTGCGACCGCAGTATTTTTTCTCACTGCCATTTGCTGCCGGTATTCCTCAGCAAGAACGTGGTACGGCTTCTTACTGCGTCTCCCACTCCCAAATGCTGCATAGACCCTATCAAAATGCGGAAGCTCTTTCCCACGTTGGTGGTAATCGCGCATCATTTCACGCTCCAGTCGATCCAGGTCGCTGCCTAGAACACTGCTTCCCGGAAGAATAGTGTTCTTTCCCTCTTCTTCTTCTCCAGTCTCTGCCAATACCACATCGTCCTGCTCCACCAAGATAACGGGCGAAAGCTCCGTAGCGACACGCATTGGCGTAAATTCATTTTCCTCTGTATTGTGAAATGCCCGCTGCCGCGTCTCGTGATGGCTATCTTCTGCAATGCGCACCTCTCCCCCATCCGCGCGGCGTTGCTTGAAAACGACCATTGCCTCCCCAATTTGTCGCATCTTTCCCCTCAGACCCTCGGCTGTAAGAGGGACACTAAGTGGTTTTTTTTCCTTTCGCGGTCCCCGCCGTCTCATGGTGATATGAGCCGTGCTGATTTCTTTCCCTTTGGCCCGGGAGGCCCCCAGCGACGACGGCAAGGGCTGTTCAAAGTAGGTGCCGCCCAATGGGGTTCGGTACATGCGCAACTGCTCCGCCCAATGTATCCGTGCAGTAGTTGTGGCCCGTCGCATTGAACCCTCTTCCTGCCACAACTTTCCTTTACCCGCCCATAGCGCCCGTGCGCATGTAAAAATAATAAATAATAAATAAATAAATAAGGGGAAAAAAGAGACAAAACAGCATTTCGAAGGAAATGGCATCCAGGCATAGGAAAGCTGAAACAAAACGCGTACCGCCTGTTGTGCTTGCCACATCGCAGTGGCGTCACAAAAGGCTGCAGAGGCACAATGCGGCAGTCATTATGACGGGCCCTTGGTAATTTAATGATGGACCATCTCATCGTGTTGCCAGGACCAATTACCCCCGTATTGTCAGGGGAATTCAAGAGCCAGCAATGTTTCCCCTCACAGAATTGTCGTGGTTGTTGGCGCGGGGCTGACAGCATCAACCAGCGCCCGGACCAGCCGTGTCTTGCCGGGACACACAGTTTTAACACCATGGGGTCTGAGGAGGCTCGCGTTGCAGCTGTGCCGTCCGCACCATGTCACTGCTGAGCAGATCCACTCAGTAGGGAGCAAAAGTGCTCTACGGCGACGGCTGGCGTGCGAGCTCTCAAATTCGTTTGGAAAAAAAAAAAAAAAGCAAATCCAATAACAAAAACACTGATAACAATAATAATAATAATGACGAGCATCCGCACAAAAGCATCCGACCAACAATTGAAATAGAACCTGACAAACCCCCCTCGCCCTAACCCGCCGTCATTAAATCGATCACATGTTCATTTTCCATTCAACAGAGTATTAAAATAATGAAAAAACTTCATACGATCTCCAGCCCAAAAAAAAAAAAAGTAAGAAAAAAATCAGTAAATAGATACAATAATATATTGGTTGTTTCCTGGGGGAAACCCCACAAAGAAACGGTAATTCACAACACCGTAGACTTGGCCCCTGTGCCCTCGCTGTTTCGCAAATTCTTGACGGTTGCACCTCGCCTTCCTAAAATCGTTTGTCGACGGCTGCTCCAAGTCCATGGTGCGCCGATCTATCTCCTTCGCTTATTATTAATTATTATTTTTGTTAGTGTTTCTGACGCTGTTGTAAAAAAAAAAAAAAAAAAGGGGGGAGGGGGTATCGCAACTAAAGGAAAAAATTTCTACGCTTATGTGTGGGCATATGTGTGCATTTTGCGTTTACCGCTTACTGAACCCCATTTTCGCTCTACCCGCAATATATATATATATATATGGTGCCCTCACCATCAACATTAAAACCATTCTGCGCCAATATCGCCTTCTTTTCCTCTTTCAACTCCATTCTTGCATCTAAACACCATCCGAATCTTCGTCCTTTCCTTTGAATTCTTCAGTACTGATAATGACCTCAGCACCTGAGTGTTTAGCTGCCTTGAGATGTGTGTACCAGAAAACACCAACTAGGGTCAACAAAACGCCCAGAAACCTCTTTGATCCCATAGGGCCGTCAAAAAACACGTGCCCAATCAGCAAAATTACACAAAGTTTAAAGTGCCCCAAGACATTGTACGTGACCGGTGAAGTCTTCCCAATAACAAGAAATATGGAGAGATTCACAATAAATGCGACAAAACCGCTCAACAGAATAACCGACAAGGTATCATTGCAGGGGTAATGCAGACGACGTAATTCCGTAAAGTATGCTATGGGCAACAGTAACACCGAGGAAAGTGGGGCTTGATATAAAAGCAGTTGAAACGAGTCGCAACCCAGATCCTTTTGTTTTGTGCCTACCCATATCTGATACTGACATGTGACAAAAAGAGCCGACAGGGCGACCAGCGTGCCCACAAGGTTCACTTCGCTATCCGTCACCGTTGCAACTGACACACCAAAACAAATCAAGAGAAGAGATACCTTAATTTTCTTGGAGAATTTTTTGTCGTAGATAACGGTTTCCATCAGCACAAGCAGAGGTGTTGTTAGAACCTTCATGAGTTGGTAGAACCCAACAGAATTGTACATCAAAGACATATTTGTCAAAACAACAAAGCCGCAGAAACTCACGCTCAGTGGCATGACCTTCATGAGACTCAATCGTTTAAATTTGAACATGCCACCAGCCAGACAAAAAACAAGGCCAAGGAACGTCATTACAAAATGAATCAAAGTGAGGGTCGTGCTGGCCCTGAAGTCGTGATCCTCAAATATCAGCTTGTTGCAGAAAACAATGGCGATGCTGCTAAACGCATTGAGGACCAGACAAAAGGGGATAAGGAATCGATGGGGGGTGACAAACATTTTCTTTACTTGCACAGCCTTTTTAAAGAAACCCGACGCAATACGAAAACAGAGAAACAAAATAAAAAATCCAAAAAAGAGATGCAAACAAAAAAAAAAGGAAAGGCGGGAAAAAAGAAGATACTGCCATTAATGTGCAGTAAAAATAAGGAGGGGGGGGAATGCTTCATCAAACAAAAAACAGTTGTGAATGGAGGTTTTGTGCTCATTTTGGCGTCTGCGCATGGATGCATGCCCGATGCACCGGGGACAGGGACACGTCCAAAGTACGCAGACCGAAAGCACCCTCCTTCCCAACACACCCTTTTTCGACAGTGACAAAAAAACAGAATGCAAAGCCAAAGTGAAATGAAATTGCAAAAAAAAAAAAAAAGAGCGAGAGAGAGTGAGAGAGAAGACAACGCATGCAAACTCCAGCACCCCAGTGGGTTGGTTGGTACCAGCCACCCCTCCTCCTCCTTCTCAATCCGCCCCCTTCCTTACTTGTTGTTTGCCTTTCTTTCCCTGTGAATATGCATGTATTTTTCCTTTTCCTCTTTTAATTTCTCGCTTCCATCTCTGCAATATTCTCATTTTCCTTCTTTCCTGACGTCGTCTGCGTCTCATTGTTCCCATACGCCTTTCCCCCCTCCTCGAGAGGAACACACAGACGCGCACTCAGATGCACTCACTCTCTCCTTCTCAAACAAATTAATATTCACGCGGAGAAGCCCCTATTCACTGCCTTACCCTCGAGACCTTAATTGCAACTTTAATATGTGAATAAGTAAAACGCTATAAGTACACATTGTATCAGAGATAATGCGCAAAAGGATAGGGTTGGCGAGAAATCCGTTTAACCACGCCTGCGCGGGTAGGCCCATGAGTGCTGAGAGCGACGGTGATGCTGCGAGATCGGCGGAGAGAAATGCGCCTGTCTGTACTGCAAATACATCTGTACCAGCAGCACGTGTTTCCCGTGGAGAGAGAGCCACGAGTGGCGGCACAAGACGCTGTGCCTGTCGCCAGTTGTTGATGTGCAACGCGCGATACATCGCCGTGGGAATTGGGCAACAGCTGGAAACACGACGGCTGAACATATTCCTTTCTCGCCCTTCCTTTTTCTTTTATTTTCTCTCAGAGACCCTTTTTTCTTCCTTCCCTGGCGACTCCAGAAATGTAAGAAAAAAAAACAAGTTTCAGCCGATATGCGTGTTTTTGTGTGTACAAGAGTTAATCAAAGTGATTACTAAAAAGCACGTGCAAAAAGGCTGTGGAAACCGGTTTTTTTTTTGTTGTTGTTTTTTGCTTGTTTGTGTGTTTTTCATCAGGGCGACGTCTCCTCCCTCACTTCATTCTTCATTGCAAATCCAATATCTGAAGGCACCCGTCTATCTTCAACGGCCTATTCCAACCGGTTAAACAAAAAAAAAAAATAAGGGACTGGCGAAGGTGCAATCCCCACCTCATTGTTTTTATTTTTTATTTTTGTTTTGTTTTTTTTCACATTCGTCTATAACTCGTATTTGGGTGGTACCTTCCAGCATCCCTCCTTACTTGCCTGCATTAGCTCGCGGTGCGACAGGTACTGAAGGACGCCGTCCTCTAAATTCAGTAAGGTTTTCATGAAGCGGCCAATACACAACTGCGTCTCACGGTCAGCGGCTGTGCGTGTCCACAAACTCAGCTTCCATTCTCGACGTCGTTCTGCCCGCCGCAGCGCCACACCGCAGACCTCTGTCTCTGGGCATGGAAGCTGTTCTCCAATCAACGCAATGCACAGACTTTCCCAGGCCTCATCAACCTGAGATGACCGATCCTCAGTTATTTCTTCTTCGTTTTCCCCTTTCCTTTGCTGGCGATGTTGTTGATCCTGGAATCGAACCACCCAGCGGCCTCCTCGCCGGTTGGCCTCATGTTCCCACATGGGAGCAATGTTGCGCCGGAGCATGTAATACGTGATGCCGGGCGGCAACTGTGAGGGCGGCAATGTGCACGTGGCAATTCCCCAGAACCCTTCAGCGTTATCAAAAAGACCGATGCTACGCACCTGATCTAGCCATGTCGCTCTATTCCCCTCTTTATGCACCGCGCACCCCTTCTTTACGGCGCTGCCTCGAACACCCGTATTGTTACCAACCGCCCCACCCACAGGATCTGGCAGAACACACCACATCTCCCACACGCCCCAGAGCGGGGTAATGCAGCTGGTTGGGTGCACGGCTAATTTGGGCTCATCTGGCCGCGACTTCAGCCGCGTCTGCATGCAGTGAGCGAGATTTGACACCTGGAGCTTTTGAAGATACCGCACTCTTCAGGGGGAACAACAAGAAAACGTGATGCCCCTTCCACCTAGCACAGATGCCCAATAGCACGTACACCGAAACGAGAGACACAGACACAATTACAGACTCAAAGGAAAAAAAAAAACACCAATAGCAGGAATTTTATTTCACGTAATGAAATAAGATATATATATATATATATATATATATATATATATATATATATATATATAGGCAAGAAGACGGTGTTTAAAAAATAATAAAAAAACATTGGGAGTTTCCCGATAGGAATGGATTCTGCCCCGAAGAGTTAGTTTCTTGCTAATCAACCAGCCGAAACAAGTCGGCAACTTTGGTGGGGTTTTTTTGCAAAACGGCACAGATCCCCGCCAAAGTTTGCTGCACTGCAACAATTCTCACCACATTGGGAGGCCTGCACGCCCACAAGAAGTCAACTACTTGCTGCACATCACGCCACTTTTGCAGTGAATAAACATGCCTCGTTTGCATCAACTTAAAAGCCACGGGTATACCGCTGATAACGAAGACACGGTACGCCATCCTTCAGCATCGCCTTAACCTCCGGGCCTTTACCCCCGCGGAAATGATCAATGTGCATTCCGTGGAAAGTTTGCCTCATGATGCCACACAGGGATAAAGAAGAGGCATACTTAACGGCAAAAGAAGGCAGAGCTGGAACTTCTCGCGTCAATCCTTCTTTATTAAAAGGGAGAAATAAGTCGTTGCAATTTACGGGAAACCTCAAAAAGAAATGCATGGTTCCTTAAATACGGCCACACAAGTACAGACGTTACATGGTATTTAGTCCCATCGCCTTTGCAATCTTTTTCTATCGGCGCAGACTGGTGCATTTTTCCTCTCCCCAGACCCCATTTAAAAAAAAAAAAAAAAGCGTCGGCAGTTAGCGCAACGAAATGCCGAAAGTTCCAAAAACCTCCGGTTAGGCAGCACTGTATGCCTCCTCACAACCAAATCAAATTCCTTATCTGCAAAGCAAGCCTGCGTCGCGTCATTAAGTGCGAGGCATCGTCAAAAGTGCAACAGTTCGTCTGCGCTCCAATGTGTCAGCGAGTAGAACCTCCCTCCCTCCGCTAAGGGGATAACAATAAGAATAATATAATGAGTTATAAGACTGTAAGAGAAAAAAAAAGAAAAAAAAGGGAGAGGAAAAAAAATATTGTGGGGTGTTGCCGTCAAAGCAATGCATGAGACAATACGGCCACAAACGCAGAAAATAAAAGTAAAAAAAAAACATCATTATCCCGTGATTTTGATGTGATGAATAAAACTAGAGGCTGTCAACCATTTGGCTGCTCTGTTGCGTCTTGGCAGGCCGCTGCGCGAGCCCGACGCTTCTCCCCTGAAAGGCACTTCATTAGGTCGGTCTTGTATGGAAAGTAACAACTCACGTGCTTCATGTGAAGCTCATACCCTTCAACGTGGTCTGCAGTCATGCAGTTGTAAAAAATGGCGTTTGCATTGTAGCAGGGATGGTCTGGTTTCATTTCCGGATCAAATGGGTGAAAAGGATGGCGACCAAGAAGTTCATTAATGTGTTTTTCGCCAATCTCCGGGCTTGGCATCTTCTGCAGGTAAGCCGTGTCGCCGTACATCCAATCAATGGCACGGCGGAAGTATGTATCACCCGACATAAATCACCGCAAAGCCAGACCAATTGGTAGGCTCTAGCTCCTATGCTTCTCCAAGCAAAAATAAAATAAATAAAAATGGGGATTTAAAAAGTAAGAAAACACCAAGAAGAATTTAAAAAAAAAAAAGAAAATTATGGTGATTCTCACACTTACTCATACATAAATACAAACACACACACGCACAGAGAGAGAGAGAGGGGAAGTCACAAAAAAGGCGCAAGGGCTGACGGTTTCTCCCCCTCCGTGTCCTGTAAAAAAAAAAACCCTTGATCACCATTTGAGCAAGAAAAAAAGGGTCAGGTTTTGGTTATTTGGGCACAATAGAACTGAAGAAGGATGATATGGGGAGATTTGCTGTAAACTAAACTACTTAAGCCCAACAATATCGCCAGTGAAAAAACACTCAAATCTTTAAGCTACAGTACATCGCGGTACGTCTCCCTCAAATCCGTTGAAGAAGGCTTTGTACTATTTGCAGAAAAAAGCTGAATGCCACCCTCGCCACTTGTCGAAACCATGGTGTCTGCAGCAACAACACCTATCATCCGCAGTAACTGGCCAAGATAGCGCAAAATGATAAGCACTTGGTGCTCCGCCCGTGAAGACTGCTGACGCGAAAAATGAAGAATAAAGAAGATGGTAATACAGAGAACACAAGCCACCACCTCTGAAATATTATAAGCCGACTCCCAAAAGTTACTACGCATCACAGCAAGTCGAAGAGCGATCTCACCCGCAAAAAGAAATGTCAATATGCCCTCCATAACATGGTACCAAAGTGTTGAGACAGATGCAGTGCTAACGAAACTGATCAACAAAAGCATGAGAGACGCCGCCACAATGCACCGATTAAAATTAGATCCAAAAAAAAGGAAATAAAAATTTTTTAGCTGCTCACGCAACGGCATCCTTGGCGAGGTGCCAACCTGGAGGACTGGCCGCGGATTTTCCCTCAGCATTCCTACAATTGCGGTTGATCTAGCTCTACAATGCCTCCACCCACACGCCCCACTAAACCAAAAACATAGACATGGAACAGTAAAGATCCTCAGCGCATGATTTCCTTTGCGACCTCTGGAAGAAGTTTTTTAAAAAAGAGGGCAGGCACAAACGCAAAAAAAAAAAAAAATACTGCACTCCTTTCTTTGTTGTTTTTAAAGGAACAAGGCAATTTCACACAAAAAAGGAATCCCAGTATTACTCGAAGATATTTACCGCCGACCAGACGTCAAACATAAGCTGACCCCTTTTTTCCAATAGCAATACGCGTTGCTCACGAACACTCTCGTCATCATCATTAGAGCTCAAAATGTTATTTGCCAACCGTAGCCGTAATGATTTCAAAAGTGCCGCCGGTCCACAAGCAAACAAACGAGCACCCCTCTCAAGAAGCGCTCCCCGAAGCTCCTCCGAATAGGTATCCAACACATCCGTGACGTACTTGAGGTACCCTTCGCTGCTCGAACGCGAAATTGACACATCATAACGAGAAATGGCGTTTAATTCTAGGGCTTCTTGCAGTTTTCTGTGATACACTAACTCGGCAAAATCCCTAGCACCGTACACCACCCAACAATTAGGAATTTGAGTTTTGCATCCCACACCACCTTGACGGTAACGTACAAGCTCGTGAACGGCACACACTAAGGGCGCAATGCCTGTTCCAGCCCCCACTAGAATCAATAACGGAAGTGTTGTCGACGCTGCTGTCTGTGTCATAAACGGCATTATGGCCTCTTTCAACCCTCTTGCAAAAAGGGTTGTACCAAACATTTTAGTACCAACAACATGGGAAGAGGATGTGGTCTTGAACCAAAGTACACAATGGGTGCGAAACATGGCCTTTAAGAGAAATGGCGGTGTACCG